CGCCCCACCCGACACACCAGACATATGCCTTCCAGACAGAGATTAAAAGGTACGGAGATCCACCAGCCTGCTGAAATGTCCTTTGAGGTCCCCCTGCACTCAATCTTTGATGTGCGCAGAATTAATTTGTTATAAAGACAAACCCCCCCCCCCCATCCTTTGGAAAATAACTTTAGCAGAAGAGGCTACGCACTGGAGTTGTGCTAGGAGCACTTTCCTACTTTGATATTCATGATTTGCTGTGGAATTTCCCCTCCCTCCCCCTCTCCCAGCGTTCCAGGCTCAGGACGAAGAGGACAAAATGACAGCCCAGCCGACACACCAGACATATGCCTTCCAGACAGAGATTAAAAGGTACGGAGATCCACCAGCCTGCTGAAATGTCCTTTGAGGTCCCCCTGCACTCAATCTTTGATGTGCGCAGAATTAATTTGTTATAAAGAAGAAACCCCCCCCCCTTTTGAAGGCCAGACCTTCAGTAAATCTATCTGGCTGTCTAGAAATGTTTCCAAAGAATAATCAGATGTGGCTGTGCTTGGTAGTCTAAAGGCTTATTCAGATAGTTCTGTTTGTTCAAAAATTATATAAACAATGGCACAATTTTTTTTCTATTTATCCATCCTATGAACTGTGAATCTTGAGAGTAAACTGGCTGGCTACCTGGACTAGAGATAATGAACAGTGCTTCCTAAAAAGGAAACAGTTTGCAGAGAAAAGGAGAAAATCAAAAATTGGGAATTGGAAATTGCTCTTATATGCTGCTTTTTCTTTAAGAGGGATATACATACATACATACATACATACATACATACATACATACATACATTCATTCATTCATTCATTCATTCATTCATACAGGATGGACCAAAAATCTGGCCCTATTGGCCAATGATAATATGTTTTCTTAATTAATATTTTTTCCCAGAGGAAATATACTGTACTTAAGAATGTTCAAAGGTCATGCATCAAATGAGTACAGAAGGGTTTAGAAGAAAATGACAATGGATTCAAATATTTAAAGTAATTTATATAATAAATTGTTTCTGGGTCCTGACTTTAGGTACACCCTGTACCTAAAGGTGCATGTGCGTGCACATGCATGCGCCTAGAACCAAAGCTAGAAGGTAGCTTTCAAACATGTGAAAAGGAATGCAGTATCTGCATGTTGGAAGAAATGCAGCATGAACATGTCGCATGGAAAAGAATGATGCAAAAAAGTTGTAGCTTTCCAAAGATTTCCAGGGAGTGGATGTTGTGGCTGAAAGTTCTATTGGTAATGCGGGCTTCTGGGTTGGGCTGGAATTAAAGAACCAAAGATGAAACTTCCAGATTCTGCCCAACAAATAACTCACCATTTTGTATTTATGATATGGGAGAGGAAAAGACGTTGAGGAAATAATCAGGTCAGTCCTGAAGCTTCAATTTACTCACAGTTCTTTTATACAGTTCTGTGCATAATATGTAATGAGTAAGTAAAACAAAGAGACCATATAAGAACAGCATGAAACAATATAAGAACCTATACTGAAAGCAGCACAACAGGTAAGAGAAAACGGTGCAGCAAAAAAATCAAGCTAGTTAAGTTCTAAATACAAAATGGTTCTTAACAGTCCTAGGAAAGGGAAAACAAGGAGCTGAAAAGATTATAATGTAGGTCCCAGAGGAAACTATCAGAGGAGGACTAGCACAGATGGGGTACCACTTTCAGGCCCAGCCCAAGAAGAACAACGAGGCAATCCAGTCCAGTTCCCTTATTAGCTTGCACCTAATAGACAAAATCTCGCCAGACTAAATCTGTGCTAAAGCAACTAGTGGCTATACCCTGTGAGACTCTAGGGAGGGGCCAGCCTCAGCTTCTTCACCTTCTCATGGTCCTGCTGCGGGCTGAGGAAGTGCTTGTTCTGTAACCCCTCCAGGAATGCTCCCCCTTCCTCCTGATAACCTTCATCCTTCATTCCAGTATCCTCCTTGCACATTCCTTCCATTACAACCACCATCAAAAAGGCCTTTTCTCTGGTATCTATCACCTGGCCACACTAGATGAGGACACCTGGAGAGAGTGAAGTTCTTGGGGTCCCAAAAGGCAAATAGAGGAGCAGCTGCTCCTTCATGGAGTTTAACCCCAAGCTTTTTAGGATTTTAGTAGCAAAAGCACTCTGAATGGTGATGTCTTTCCTCCATGAAACAGAGGACGTTTCAGCATCATCAAACAATGCCGAGAGAAGTTCAGTGGAAATCCTTTGGCAGCCAAAATCATCCCCTACAGGCAAGAAGAGAAAGAAGCCGTACTCCAGGAGTATCAGATCCTGCGAAAACTCCACCACACCAACATAGGACAACTGCAGGGCGCCTATGTGAGTCCACGCCATCTTGTACTGATTGTGGAACTTTGCGTGGGGCCCGAGCTCCTTCATGCCTTAGCTGGAAGGTAAATAGGTATATTTCTTATATTTCAACCAACTAAAGCTATAAGCTGTCTGCTGCTGCTGCTGCTTCTTCTCCCTCTTCTTTTTTTCTCTTCTCTCTCCTTCTCCTTTTTCTTGTCTTCTCCTCCTTCTCCTTTCTTCTCTTTCTTCCTCCTCATCCTCTTCCATTTCATATTTTGGTGCCAAAGCCATGTTTAGTTCAGGTTAAAGACTTCAGACAGTACATGACATCAGTAAGATTTATGCATGGTATAGAGGTGTGTGGGGTATAAAACCTCCCTTTTTGGTGATGCTGTGACACTAATTTTATATTGTCTACAGTTTCCAGTAAAAGGTCAAAAGCAGTTTTGTTAAGTTAGGAAAAAGAATTAGCCAACTGAACAATAAAATATTGAGGAGCTTCCTGCCACATGGTGGCCTGTATTTGGCCGAACTGCTACTTCATAGCATCATAGAGATGGAAGGAACTTCAGATGCCATCTAGTCCTTAACCCGAATCCTAACCCTTGCTTGGTTCATGATTTTCCATATCTTATGTTAATATCATGTCGGTTTCTTAGAAAAAGTTGGCTCAGGAAAACTAAAAAATCATAACAACGTGGGCAAATCACATGTGCTTCTGTCAAATTCAATGTTTCAGAAAGTTTTGTTTTAAAATTACCAAAACAAAAAAAAATCTTGAGCACTTTGATTCACAACAGCTCTGGATAATTTTAAAAACAGCCCTTTTCCTGTAGAATTCCATTTGCATTCATCCCACCCAGCACTGTCTGGACATATCCATTGAGACTGATTTCAGTCAAGGATTTCTTGCCATCCCTGGGCTGATACATATCAAACCAAAGTCTAACTTTTGGGGAACCTGTGAGCCCCATGTTTTTACCAGCTTCTCTTTCCTAGGTCTTCCTATTCAGAGGTGCAAGTCAGAGACTACCTCTGGCAGATTCTCAACGCCGTTGAGTACCTTCACAAGCAGGACATCCTACATCTGGATCTAAGATCTGAAAATATGATTATTGTTGAGCCAAACCTGCTGAAGCTTTTGGACTTTGGCAATGCACAGTTCTACATGCCAGACCAAATCATAACCTTGGATGGATGCACAGATTTTGTGGAAACTATGGGTGAGTACAGCTGATGAACAATCAAGAAATGCCTTATCAGCAAATCCAAGCAACACAAGTTTGGCACAGTGAAAGAGGGACAAAGGGTAATCAGATATTATTTAATTCCACTTGCTCTGAGTTGGCCAGAACCTTTCTTGATAAGGAAGAAAAGTTGCTAAATACTAAGATCTACTGTTCTCTCAATCCTGCTATCTAGGTTCTTCAGTTAAGAGTCCCAAGGTTTTAACTTGAGCCTTTTTGCTGCAGCATGCCTGGTCAGCTATAGAAGGATACCTCCTCTTGTAGGTCAGAACATTTGGGGGTGGGTTGCATTACATTTGATTCCCCAAATGTCCATGAATCAGGTGCATATCAGTGTTAAGGCAGGAAACTTTCCTAATACAAATGTGTGTTTTTAGCTTCAGAACTCCTATCTGATAAGGGAGCTGTCCCACAGACAGACATCTGGGCGATTGGCGTGACGGCTTTCATCATGTAAGTCAACCTAAGCTTCTGTTTACAGAATCACAGAATCTTAGGTTTGGAAGTGACCATAGAAGTCTTCTACTCCAACCTTCTGCAGAGGACAGGAATCCTCAGACCATCCCAGACAGATGGCTATCTAACCTTTGTTTGAAAACCACCAGTGATGGAGCCCCCATGACTCCAGGGGCAGGCTGTTCCACTGTTTCATAGCTCTCACGGTTGGGAAATTCCTCTGTATTTCGAGTCTGGATCTCTCTCTGTAAAGCTTCCATCTGTTGGTTTTTGTCCTACCCTTGGGCACCATGGAGAATACATCCACAACCTCTTCTCTGGAATAGCCCTTTGAGGATTGGAAGACTGCACTTAAGTCTCCCCCCACCTTTCTCTTCTTTAGGCTAAACATACCCAGTTTCTCTAACCGTTCTTCATAGGATTTAGCTTCCCAGTCCCTCACCACATTTTTTGCTCTTTTCTGCACTCTTTCCAGTGCAGAGAAGAGATCTTAGCATCCTTTTTGAAATGTGGTGACCAAATAGGACACAGTATTCCAGATGTTGTCTGCTTCTTGCATGTGTGACTAGACCACCAGAATTAGTGGAACACCCAATGGAGCATGGCTAGTCTGGAGACACTATCAGAAGGATGTTGGGAGAAGAAACACAACACAAGTTTGCAGTTTAATGGGTTTGAATAATTGCTCCTTGGCCTCTAGCAGCTAAGGAAACAGATTTGTATCCTACGGTTTTTCCTTCATTATATCTTCTAGAGCAAAGTCCTGCCTACTAATTGATCCTATTCCTTGATTTAAGACCAGAAGGAAGAAATGGGTTTCCCCTTCCATGCCAAGCAGAAGGTGTTCCATCTTCTGGACACAATGGGACAGTAACAGGAGCATCTTGAGGACTGGGGGATCAAAGAGATCAGATGGCAGCTGTGACCACACAGTTGAAGCCCATCCCCTTGTATATGTCATAATAAAAGGGGATGGGGCTTCAATTGCATGGTAAAAAATGGCCATGTAAAGAGGGTGAGGCTTTGATTGCATGGCCATGGCTGCCATCTTGACTTTTCTGACCTCCCGGTGCACCCTTGGCCAGTAGACTCCTTTACTGTTTTAATTTTTTTTTTTTTTAGTTCTCCCCTGTGTTCATCACAAGAACACAAAATGCCTTTCCTAGAAGCCTAAGGATTCCACCCTTAGGAAGAAAGTTTCTTTGCTGGGCACATTTGATGTAAAGGAGCATTCCAAAGTACCATTCCTTCCCCTCTAATGGAACGATCCAGTCCATGAATTCAGTACTACTCTGTTTCATTTCCATCCCATTGGGCAGCAGTAAATCCTAGTTCCTGCATCTGCCAACATTTCAGAAAGGACCTGTGTTGATGCTTTGATAATACATGGTGTATAAAAAGTAATCTGTCCGTGAAGATGTATTTATTGAGATAAAGGTATTTTGAAAGTATTATTAGTAAGGAGAACAGAGGGACACCATTTATGAGCCAACTGTCTAATACATTATATAGGCTGAGTTTCCTCTCTCTCCGCCCCATTTTGTGGAACATTCCAGATCGGCTTTGCTTTATTTACTAAATTTATATCTTGCCTTTCATTCAGGAACCTGAGGTGGCACATGTAGCCTTCCCTCACCCTATTTTTCCCCACCATAACAACCCTGTGAGGGAGGTCAGGCTGAGTGGCAGTGATTGGTCCAAAGTCAGCCAGGGAGCGTCTAAGGCTGAAGGTAGACTAGAACCTGGGTCTCCCCACTCCTAGTCCAACATTATCTCCACTCTACCACTCCACTAGAGCCTTGGAGCAAGAGGCATGCTGGCAGATAAGCAGCTTTGCAGCTTACCTGTTCTAGGAGAGGCGAGTTGATACAGTTGGGGCAGACGTGTTTTTTATAGCTGTAGGCAATCTTGCTGCCTTTTGGGAGGGCCCCACCTGTAAAATGAATGCGTGTGCACCTTCAAGTCAGTTTTTGATCCCTGGCAACTGCCTGGACTAATCCCTGCAGTTTTCTTGGCAAGAGTTTTTGGAAGTGGGTTGCCATTGCCTCCTTCCTAGGGCTGAGAGAGAGGGACTGGCCCAAGGTCAGCCAGCTGGCTTTGTGCCTAATGTGGGACTAGAACTCACCACCTCCTGGTTTCTGGCTTGATGCCTTAACCACTACACCAAAGTGTCTCTTTTGTAAAATGAATAGGAATGACATAAGAAAAGTTCTGAGGCTGAATCAGGGCCAGTGCCGATCCAGTTGTTTTCAGGCTCACCCAGAGGCTATCCAGATGCTTTCCAGGGCCCCCAAGCAGAGATCCTCCTCTGCAGCAGCTGCTTCTCATCAGCTGGTATTTAAGATCTGCTGCTTGTTGTTCTGCAAGTAGGAAGCAGCCATCAAAAGCTTGGCTTGCCATGAATTTGTCTAGCCTTCTTTTCAAACAAACTAAACTGCCACCTGGCATCACAGCAAAGCGCCCAGTTTAACTCGTTTTATAGGAGAGTAGGAGGTGAGTAAAACCTCAGAAGGGCTGAGCATAATAAAAGAATACAGGTTACCAGCAGGCAGGTCTAAGTGGGCTTAGATTTTACTACTTCTGATTATGTGATTTGCAGGTCCCTGACAGTTGGTGGTAAATCAAAGATCAATAGAATCAAAGATCAGCCAATGATAGAGGCAGAGCAGATAAGGCTGCAAGAAGGAACAAAGGACAAAGATAAGTGGTGGTGGTAGTGGTGGTGGTGAAGATGGACTGAAGAAGTCCTTGACGATGTGGGGGGAAAGCAAATAAGGCCAACCTTGAAGAGTCTGAGAGGACAGTCTGGAAGGATGAAGAAGGCAGAGCTGGCCTGAAAAACAACAGTTGGAAATAGGAGGCAAAAGCTCTATCTTCACTTGGGTCTAACTATGGCACAAAAATGCCCTAACAGCCTCTTTGTTCTGCCATGCCTCATGATGTTGTCTCTCACCAGCCTAAGCATGAGACTGGCTTAACTTGTCCTTCACTATACTAAGCTTGAAATACAGGTGGTCCCCAGGTTAAGAACGCCTGGGTTACCCATAGTTAAGAACAGAGCCTCTTGTAGCAAAATTTGAGTTAAATACACAATACTACTTATACAGTATTATGCAATAATACTATTCCGGCTTACATACAAATTTGACTTAAGGACAGACCTTGGGAATGGAACTTGTTTTTAAACTGGGGACTACCTGTACTGCTTCCCGCCTTAAACTGTCAGCCTTCCCAGGTGGACCAGACAGGAAACATGACCAGATGAGCTAATTCTACTTTATTGTAAGGCTACATTAACAGAATTTTGCAAGTCTGAAAGTACAATTCTCCCGTTGTCTCCTTTACAGCCCGAGAAGCTAGGGAGGATCCCTTCTGAGTCTTTTGTTCCGCCCACTATGCAGTGCCAGGCTATGCCCTCTCTTATCTGACTGTTCCCTACGCAGCATCTCTTTGCCCAGCTCCCAAGGTCTTTCTCACACACCTTTATATCAACCAGCAGCATCCAGTGGCAGATGAAAAGTATGTAATCTCTGTTACTCTTTACCACCCATCACATCAGAGGTGAAGTCAGGTGATCAGTGGTGAATGGGATTAGCATGGACCCCACTGGATATTTCAGGATGATGTGAACATCGGCCTCCCCTCCAGTCCCTGGTCTGCTATCATTCTGCTGTGGTTTCCCTAAAGAGTGGCACTGTTTCTCCTTTTCCCTCCCCTTCTGCTTAACATCACGCCAGGAGGGATGGGAGGGCAGAGAATTCTGGTTGAATTTCCTTGACAAAGACAAGGCTGACCAGGACTGAAAACAAATATAAATGTCATTAATAAATGCAGAGTCAAGAGGAGGAAGAGGTCTCTTGGTGTTTTCCTGTGCTAACAATGGAGAGGGGCAGAATTGAGGTTAGGTGTCCACCCAAGAGAATTAAAACTCTTCCTTCCTCTCTGTTTTCAGGCTGAGTGCCGAATATCCCATCAGCTCCGATGCTGCCTGGGACTTTGGAAGGCTTGTCAAACGAGACAAAATCCGACTCAACAAATGTTATGCTGGCCTTTCTGGGGGTGCCATCAACTTTCTCCAAAGCACACTTTCCTTTAATCCATGGTGAGAAGACCTCAGGGTTCCTCTTTCACGTTGCTGATTTTCTTCTGTCCTCTGCACCCCAGATTACCTCAGTTAATGTCTGTTCTCCAACCAAGAATCCCTTAATAGTAACAATCAAGTGCAGTGAGGCTATAAGGGATCGCTTGGGCTTATTTATTTGAGAGAAGACTTATTCTAGCTCTTTGAAGGTCCAGTGGCTTAGAGATAGGCAGCTCTGGAGCTCTTGAAGGGGCTCTTGAGAGTGGCCCAACAGTAGCAGCACTGTCCAGTCCCAGGACATTGTCCCACCTCGTCTAACAGTGTCCATCTCTGTTGGCTGCCCTGGTCCTCCTCCCTGACTTCCTTGTAAATGGGGCTCTGGATGGAATGTGTCCTCCTCCACCAAGCTGAAGTTTCTCTCACAACACAGTGTAATATGAAGCCAAGGCTAAGTATAAGGCCTAGATGATTTAACTCGGCTTCTTCCTCTCATAGACCTTGAAAGCTCTTTTTTTGGAAAAAGCAAGAAAGATTTTGGTTTTTCTTATTCAGTAGTGCTTCAACCTCAGTGTTCTGTTTCCTTTCAGGAGAAGACCAACAGCAACAGAATGTCTTCAGTCTTCATGGTTGCAAGAGACTGGCTTGGATGAACACCAACAAGCCACAGTTACTTTCTCCACCACCAAGCTGAGGAATTTTGTGGCTGCACGAGAGAGGAAAAGGGCACTACTCTGTTCAAAGTATGGTGTAACGGCTGTGTAGCAAATGGAACCTACATTCAATCTCTCTAGCTGTCCATGATTCACGGACTCCTGTGAATGTCAGTGCTGAGTTTTGGATATCTACTTTATTATATTTTCTGATTTCTGATCCAAAAAGCAATGATTTTTAAGATGCAGATTGCTGAGCATCAGGTTTGTTTAGATGTTTCCAATAACCAGGGAAAAGAAGAGACCACAGTCACAACACATGGATGCATTTTATTTATTCTACAGTGATGTTCCTCTCACATTGCCATGACAAAATGGAACAATTCTGGATTAATCGATAGAAAGTGAAAGTAGGCTGTACACAGGGTTATCTTAAACATGAAAGACTTCACTGTTTCAAAAGCAATTTAAAGATGTATTCAACCCCCAGAGGGACTTATGAAATCTCTGGGTTATTTTTTTTTTTCAAAAAAAGGAAATATTAATGAAGAATCTGTTTCAGATCCTTTGGCAAAGGCTGGAAGGGAAGAATATTCTACACAATATTTTCTATCCAAGTTCCACATCAGTTGGGCATGCACTTATCCATGAACCTTACAATCATTCTGTGAAAAATGGAAGATGAGCTCATGGTTAATTTATCTTCCTTTTGCCACCTTTTTCCCCAAATGCACCTCTGCATTCAGTAGGAATCTTTCAGAGGTGCCAAGAAAGGCTCATTTTATTAGGAATGGAAATGCTCTGCATTAGGGAGCCTTCAGTCTTCAATAAAAGACAGCCTAAACACCAGATGTTAGTTCATAATGTTGGATAAGTTTTGATGCCTTAGAGCCCTGACTTTTAACATGGAAACGCCCCAGATGAAGATACACAAGAATACTTTGACAATAACGTAATTAAATTCCATGCTAAGAATAATCATAATCTAAACTAAAATTGAAATGTTCTGCAGTTTCCTGCAGCAATCATACCATACGTGGCGTTCCTCCTGACTTATAAGGAGCCTGCTCTTTTTAGCTAGCCAGGTTGTATGTAGGCCTTTTTGCAACCTACCAGCTCTGCATTTCAAAGAATTACATTATTCTTTCAAAAGGAAAACGTAAACCAGAGGTTCTTGTCACCTTCACTTCAGAGCTCCTGAGCCAACGGGAACACAGCAGAACCCCTTGCACGGTCCCATTGAGGGTGAGAAAGTGGACTGGTTCAAAAACTTCACAAGAAGCAGGAGAGTCATGTTTCACCCCTTATACGGCCAGTCACGGTAGGGCAGGTTGTAGCTGGAACACAAAAGTGGCCTTCTTTGTGCATGAGGTGGAGAAAGAATTTCCCCTCTCTCAATCAGGACCCCAGAAGAATCTCAGCACACCAAGGACACTATTGCTGGAGAGTCAAAATATCCCTTCCATGCGTAATTTCCATTACTAAACAGATTCATCCACATAGGAAAATCTTTCATAGTCTTACCTGAGAGTGTGCGGAGGGCCTTTATTTCACCGCCAGAGGTGTGATGCATGTTGTCTTCCAGACAAAGAATTGAGTTGATTACTTGCTCCTTTGCAATGAACTTGGTTATTTCCCATAGGGATTATCTGTCACAATTGGAATCTAGTTGGCAGTCAAGATATTCCACAACGCTTCTGCTCCTAGTTCAAAGGTATTTATTTGCTGTGTTCAAGTTCTGCTACTTTCAAATATCTGAAGTAACAATCTATATTTCTTCCTAGTGTTGACTTAAAAAAAAATAGCCCAGTAGAATAGAAAAATTAAATTACTGGGAACCTTTTGATTTTCCCATCATTTAAGAAGCCAGACTACCTATTAATCTGTGTGGCTTTAAGCCGCAGTAAATAAATGCTGTAATCAAAAAAAACATTTGTCGTAGATTAATTATTTTAACATTTGCTAGTGGTGGTAACCTTGGAGTTGCTTTGTTCTTTTAAGTATCCTTCAAACAAAATCTTCTTGTAGCAGCATTTTATCACCAACCCTCCTTTTGATTACTTTTATCGCACAAAATGGGAAAGTAAATAAATGAAGTTAAATACATAACTTCCATAGATTAAGGGCGGGGGGGAAACTTTCATACAGTAGTTTAAGAGATTTACCCATCCTGGACAGTCTTTCCTGTATTTAATAACTGCAAAAAGTCAAAAGTAAATAAAACCAATCCTCACAATATATGTTAATGGAAATGAGGACCCTCACATATATTGTGGCATTTTTTAATAATCAAATTGTGGTGGATCATCCGGTCTCTTCCAATTTCACTGGGTTTCCATGAAAGTACTGTTGGTTTGTAAGTGGTATGAATGAATTGTGCCTATTATATTTAGAATGAGCAATAACAGATGCCAATTCAGTAAAAGGTTATCGAGAGTGCAAATAGCAATGGTAGCTCAGGTATTTAAAAGCAGTTCTCATAATCTAACTTTAAAAAGTTCATTTGCCTGAGCAACCCTATACACTCTCCCATCTTTGTTTCTTTGAAAATAAACTACAGCCTGTTGAGTTCTGAATTTCAAAACTGGCTATTTTTCCTAGGTCAACACAGATAGGGTGGATATTGTCATGGAATATATAACTTTGGTCTATTAACAGTAATGTTCATGTCACAGGTATGGATGTGAGCTGTAGGTCACAGAGAGGAGCCTTCCCCGAACCCTTCTGTGTTTTAAAAAATGCCATCAATTTCAGCATGTCCTGTTCAATTTTGAGGAGGGAGGGAGGGAGGGAGGGAGGGAGGGAGAAAGATCACGTCAAGGTTTTATTTTTAAAATCAGCATCTGGGTTACAACAACTTTTGTATATTGTGGAAATGAAGTGCCTTTCTTAAATGCATGCCTTCTGCATAGGATCACAGTGCTGCTTTGTTAAACTTTTCTTTTAATAAAGATCATATGTCACGAGGCCTTGGAACCGACTCTATTACAGGAGGAGGGAGACAATTGGATCACGTACAGGGAAATTGGCAGATGGGCAAACCCCTCTTCTACAGCTTTTTCTCTCATCCCTAAATAGCTTATTGACAGCACAATCAAAGCTTGCTTTGTGCAGATAAATGTGGACTTGGGGAAGTGGGGGGGAGGAGAAAGTCATTTTATTCCAGCCCCACTTCCGCCATGCAGAACAGGCCCATATGTTGTGGGAAGGAATGATGCACTTTAAATTTGCCCTTGAATTGCACGGCTGGGTAGAGCAAACTATAAAGTGAGATAAAATCCAGAATTGCTTCAGATCTGCTACGTGAGAGCAACAGAGCTTATCGCAGAATCCCAGAGTTTGAAGGGACCTCAGAGAACATGTAGTCTAACCCACTTCTTGGAGGAGGACCTACTAAAGCAACATGGTGACTCAAAGTATATCTGCACAAGGACGTTTTCGTGTTGCTTTTGCAGCATAGGATTAAGAGCAGGATCACTTGGTCAACATTTTGGCCTTATCACCGCTGGATGGGGCATTCAGAATTGACTGTAATATATTTTATAGCTTATAATCAGCAGCAACACAGTTGCAGCTTTCAGCTGAAAAACTTTCTTCCACCCCTCCCTTTAACTGATGGACTCAGTTCTGCTTCACTTCCCTGTTGCTTGTATTGTTTAGCTCTAGGCTTTGTTCTTCTCATTTGTTTGATTTAAAGAACAGATTCATTTCACCGCCCCTTCTATTTTGGAATAAGTTGGCCAACAGCCATGAGCTGTGGAAGTAGGATTAATCTCTGCAATCAAGAGCAACAGAATTCACTTGGAAACAGAGGTCTGGGCTGGGTGCCTTGGGGTCTAATGGAAAAAGGTAACTCTTACAATGGTGAAATAGAAAGAATAAATATAAATCTAGGATTGATTGATTGATTCTGTGCTATCAAGCCGGTGTCAGCTCTTAGTGAACCCATAGGCAGATTTTCTCCATGAATAGATCTAGAAAGCTTTGTGTTTTTGGGTGGTCTTGAGTGTGACTTGAAAAACATACAACAGAGAGATGGATATTTCCTTCCCTTTTCTAGGCTTTCTGTGGGAAAACAAAGAAGCAGGATCCAAGTATGCAATTGCCTTGTTATTGCCAAGTTTCCAGTGGGTCAGTGAGATTGCAATTTTGATCAACTTTACCATGGGCAAAGTTCTGTTTCCTTCATGTTTCCTCCACCTTCTCCAAGCTGGCTTGCACCCATTTGATAAAAACAAGGCACTCTAGGCACGATTTTCAGTTTATTAGGTTATCAAGGTATTTATTCTTTATGGCATCAAAGATTGAGACTCAGGAGAGTTAGAATTAAGATAGCTGCTAGGTACACACAAAGCAGTAATGAACTGTTGGGAATTCCGCTGTGCTCCTCACTTAGCACCTCCAGTGTAGCTTCTTCTCAGTCTTCATCAGCTCCTTAGCAAATTTACCCAGGAACTTCAGATAAATGGAGGACAAAACTCAGCCTCTGTACACTAACATGCTGGCTCTAATGCACTTTAGAAAAAGCATTTTTTAGGAAGCTGACATTTTACAGAAAAAGAAAGAAATAAAACCCCTTTGGACAGTTAATTTCATTAAGGCTTCTGTGTTTTTATAGAGGGTATTTCCTGCAGATCTATCAACAAAAGCCTGAGCTTGAAAGATCACTAGGAAGCATGAGCAAAATCTCTCATATGTGTTGGTATTTCCCCAACAGCTTAAGTGTGCAAAAGAAAAAGAAGAGGTTAACCCT